AAAAAAAATTAACATATCGTAACTATATTACCATCAGATTTTATAACACATTAAATTTCAATCAGACATAATCGCTCATTTTATTATAAGAATTAATCAAACAAAAGAATCTGTCAAATTTTATTCCCTCATTACTCATACATACATATCTATGATTACAGTAAATTTGGCTAGATAATATAAGAGTATACAAAAATATTTAATCGATTGAAAATATGTGTGTGTATGTTCATTTATACAATGAAGTCAATTGACTTTGTATGAATAGTGTACAGACGTCAACATACATAGATACTACAATGTAAAAAGAGCATGTGTCTACCGGACTTAAGTAATTTGAAACTAATGAAAAAAGAAGAAAAAAAAAGGTAAAAATGAATTATCAAAATATCATTTTTACCTTTTTTTTTCTTCTTTTTTCATTAGTTTCAAATTACTTAAGTCCGGTAGACACATGCTCTTTTTACATTGTAGTATCTATGTATGTTGACGTCTGTACACTATTCATACAAAGTCAATTGACTTCATTGTATAAATGAACATACACACACATATTTTCAATCGATTAAATATTTTTGTATACTCTTATATTATCTAGCCAAATTTACTGTAATCATAGATATGTATGTATGAGTAATGAGGGAATAAAATTTGACAGATTCTTTTGTTTGATTAATTCTTATAATAAAATGAGCGATTATGTCTGATTGAAATTTAATGTGTTATAAAATCTGATGGTAATATAGTTACGATATGTTAATTTTTTTTTGCTTCTTCATTTTCTTATCCATAAGATAATATGTCATGAGATATCCTTGACCTTGAGATTTACATATTATCTATTAATGACCTTCAGTTTATATACCTCTTGTAATCTTTGTATCTCTTAGATGCACATTTAAAGTGATAGAGAGAGCGAGTATGTCAGATCATTTTTGTTAACTATTTGATCTATCAACAGCTGTAAGTCTTCTAATGTTCTTTGCTTGTCAAGCTGACTCAAATATTCTGCAGAAGAACTAAATCAATAAATTTCTCTTACAAGAAGCTGATGATTAAATACCATAACAAACTAGACATAAAATCTCTTAGTATCATATATTTTCATGCTTGGAATAAATCCTTTTTTTTTTGTGTTATGTTAGTTAATATTTGTATAAGATTATTTATGATCATTTCAATAACTGACATTCATATCAAGTAAAGATTTATTTTATTATTGATGTTGTTAGTAGAAATATGCAAGATTTTTGGTTTCCTGATGTTTAGATGGGAAAAAAGAAGGAAAAAAAAAGAAATAGAATCATTTTTAAAGAGAAAGAAATGGACTTTATCATTTTTTTTTCCTCGCTGCTTTCCGTTGAACCCGACTCCAAGGTAGTTATATATACTCGTCGTCGTTTTCTTTTCTTCTTCGCACTTTATTTTACTTTATATGTTTGAGCGGAAATGAGAAGGACAGACGTTGCTACTGCTGTTCCTCATTTATTTATTCAGCATTGTGCGTAAATGTGTGTTCATGAAAAAAAAAGAAGAAAGAAAAGAAGAAAAAAGATTTCTCAGATTGCATAAAACTTCTTGTCAGACTAGCAAACATCACATATAATTGACTATCTTTTTGAACTGATTAATTTCAAGAAAAAAAAAACTTTCTTTTTTATTCTAGATAAAACTATCAATGGCACTTTTTTTTGTTGGCTATTTTATTGCTGTAACAAGTACAATTGCATTTATTGTTGCTATTCTAACACCAAGATGGATTTATCCAAATATTTTACCAGTCAGTAACAATACTCCATCGTCACCAAGTAATAACTATTACCTCGGAATATTTTATGTTGATTATGGTTTTCCTAATGGAACTTGTCGTAATTGGATCTTACTTTATCAGGATTCTGTAGCAGTTTGTCGGCCAAGTATGTTATTTAAAAAAAATCTACAATATACAATTGTTATAAAATATTTATTTTAGCGTATGCTATCGCATGTGCATCGTTAGCGATAGCAGGAGCATCATTATCGGTTATTCTTCTTTGGCTAGCTGGTGGTTATTTATATGTTCGTCGTCGACGTCTTGTTCCTAGTTTTGTTTCAATAATAGCTCTTTTAACATTATTGATTTGTAAGTTAAATTTTTATTTCTTAATCGATACTTATATTCTACGAATTGTTTTCAGTTTGGATAAGTGCAGTCATATGGATTGTTATGATTACAATGAATCGTGATGAAAATTTAAAAATTCGCCGAGAAAATATTGGTTTTTCCACATGGATTGCCGTTGGTGCAAGTGGTGGTTATTTACTTGCTTTTATAGCATTTGTTCTTTATCGTCTTCTGCTTCGTCGTCGAAGGTATGTTAAAGGAACTGATCCAAATTCACGTCGATTTTAAATACATATGTTATATATAATATAAATGTTTTGTACACATTTTCTTAATACGAATGTATTGTAATATGAATTCTTTTTGTTTGTTTGTTTCGTATGTCACTTATATAAAATCCCTGCAAATTTAATTATATAAATGTTCACTTTAAGTTATGTGATACGTAACTTTCTCATTTTATAATTGTCAGTCAAAAAAAGTTCTTTTTTTCTTCTTTGAATATATTGTCTTGTCTTTTATTTGACGAAAAATCTGATTGATTTTAATGTATATGAGTATATCAAAGTCGTCTTCTTATGTTTTGTCCTTCAACTCAGTATATAAGCACACAAAAGCGTCTATATACTAAGTTGAAGGACAAAACATAAGAAGACGACTTTGATATACTCATATACATTAAAATCAATCAGATTTTTCGTCAAATAAAAGACAAGACAATATATTCAAAGAAGAAGAAAAAGAACTTTTTTTGACTGATAATTATAAAATGAGAAAGTTACGTATCACATAACTTAAAGTGAACATTTATATAATTAAATTTGCAGGGATTTTATATAAGTGACATACGAAACAAACAAACAAAAAGAATTCATATTACAATACATTCGTATTAAGAAAATGTGTACAAAACATTTATATTATATATAACATATGTATTTAAAATCGACGTGAATTTGGATCAGTTCCTTTAACATACCTTCGACGACGAAGCAGAAGACGATAAAGAACAAATGCTATAAAAGCAAGTAAATAACCACCACTTGCACCAACGGCAATCCATGTGGAAAAACCAATATTTTCTCGGCGAATTTTTAAATTTTCATCACGATTCATTGTAATCATAACAATCCATATGACTGCACTTATCCAAACTGAAAACAATTCGTAGAATATAAGTATCGATTAAGAAATAAAAATTTAACTTACAAATCAATAATGTTAAAAGAGCTATTATTGAAACAAAACTAGGAACAAGACGTCGACGACGAACATATAAATAACCACCAGCTAGCCAAAGAAGAATAACCGATAATGATGCTCCTGCTATCGCTAACGATGCACATGCGATAGCATACGCTAAAATAAATATTTTATAACAATTGTATATTGTAGATTTTTTTTAAATAACATACTTGGCCGACAAACTGCTACAGAATCCTGATAAAGTAAGATCCAATTACGACAAGTTCCATTAGGAAAACCATAATCAACATAAAATATTCCGAGGTAATAGTTATTACTTGGTGACGATGGAGTATTGTTACTGACTGGTAAAATATTTGGATAAATCCATCTTGGTGTTAGAATAGCAACAATAAATGCAATTGTACTTGTTACAGCAATAAAATAGCCAACAAAAAAAAGTGCCATTGATAGTTTTATCTAGAATAAAAAAGAAAGTTTTTTTTTTCTTGAAATTAATCAGTTCAAAAAGATAGTCAATTATATGTGATGTTTGCTAGTCTGACAAGAAGTTTTATGCAATCTGAGAAATCTTTTTTCTTCTTTTCTTTCTTCTTTTTTTTTCATGAACACACATTTACGCACAATGCTGAATAAATAAATGAGGAACAGCAGTAGCAACGTCTGTCCTTCTCATTTCCGCTCAAACATATAAAGTAAAATAAAGTGCGAAGAAGAAAAGAAAACGACGACGAGTATATATAACTACCTTGGAGTCGGGTTCAACGGAAAGCAGCGAGGAAAAAAAAATGATAAAGTCCATTTCTTTCTCTTTAAAAATGATTCTATTTCTTTTTTTTTCCTTCTTTTTTCCCATCTAAACATCAGGAAACCAAAAATCTTGCATATTTCTACTAACAACATCAATAATAAAATAAATCTTTACTTGATATGAATGTCAGTTATTGAAATGATCATAAATAATCTTATACAAATATTAACTAACATAACACAAAAAAAAAAGGATTTATTCCAAGCATGAAAATATATGATACTAAGAGATTTTATGTCTAGTTTGTTATGGTATTTAATCATCAGCTTCTTGTAAGAGAAATTTATTGATTTAGTTCTTCTGCAGAATATTTGAGTCAGCTTGACAAGCAAAGAACATTAGAAGACTTACAGCTGTTGATAGATCAAATAGTTAACAAAAATGATCTGACATACTCGCTCTCTCTATCACTTTAAATGTGCATCTAAGAGATACAAAGATTACAAGAGGTATATAAACTGAAGGTCATTAATAGATAATATGTAAATCTCAAGGTCAAGGATATCTCATGACATATTATCTTATGGATAAGAAAATGAAGAAGCAAAAAAAAATTAACATATCGTAACTATATTACCATCAGATTTTATAACACATTAAATTTCAATCAGACATAATCGCTCATTTTATTATAAGAATTAATCAAACAAAAGAATCTGTCAAATTTTATTCCCTCATTACTCATACATACATATCTATGATTACAGTAAATTTGGCTAGATAATATAAGAGTATACAAAAATATTTAATCGATTGAAAATATGTGTGTGTATGTTCATTTATACAATGAAGTCAATTGACTTTGTATGAATAGTGTACAGACGTCAACATACATAGATACTACAATGTAAAAAGAGCATGTGTCTACCGGACTTAAGTAATTTGAAACTAATGAAAAAAGAAGAAAAAAAAAGGTAAAAATGA